TAGGGAACCTGCTTTAGCAGGATGGATTGGACTAGATGATCTCCTGAGGTCCCTTCCAAACCCTGTGATTCTGTGATACTGTAAAGAAGTCCGTCAGTGGTGATGGAGGTTCACATGCTTCTGGGTTTCCTAAGGCTGTGTCTAGCTAACCTCTGGGAAACTGTAAAGATGACTGAAACAACTCAACAATATTCTTCCAGTTTTACACACAAACCAGTAAAATTTTGTACAAGTAGTACATTTATCATTTTAAGCCCCCTATTTCACTGCTTCTCAGTGAAAGTCACATACAGTTACCAACATGCAATTTACAGTAGCTTTTACATTGGCAGTGAGTTTAACCAGAGGTAAATTAATTAATGAAAGCATTTGAAATATAGGCTTGTTTTATACAATAAAGAGTGTGTCATTGACCTATGTGACTTCTACAAGTCTAGCTGCATAGAAAACTACATCCTGAAATGGTTTAAAAGCAGATCTTTCTAATAAATGCAACTGCCAAATTTTATGCTCAGCAAAATCAAATGTTATGGTAATTAAGCAGCTTTCAATCAAAACCAGATTCAACAATTAAGCTTAAGAAAGACAGTGCCATGACCAGTATGATTTTCTTTTCCTACATGATGAAAGTATCTAACAAGCAAAGCATTCACCTTTTGCAAGTATTGTTTCTGTTTTGCTTGTACAAACTTTTTTCCCCCTCAATATTTTGACCATTTCAAACAGATGATATCTTGGCAATGTTGGTGGTGAACGTCTGTTGCTCTGTTTTGCAAGCAACATCCAGTAAGTATATGCTTCACAGAGTAAGGCAGAACAACCTCAGCCTGGAAAGCCTGTGCTGTGGTTTTACTGGTGCTCCAGACCCTGTGCCATGCTCCAAAAGCACCCGTGTCATTCAAACTGCTCCTTTAAGCAGCTTTGCAGGCTGATGGGACATGTCTTGGACTGGGAAGGAGAAGTGCCTGAGCATTTCAGTACCTGTCCCTTACCCTACAAACTTTCTAGTATTGAGAAGGACAGCATGAAAACATAGGAAATTCCCTTCAGAATACAAAGAGTTTCAAGATAAAAATAAAAGGTATTGATCTAGATGAGGAAAAGGTGGAGGGGAAGTTTGGTAAGCTCATTATCATGCAGATGTTTTAATAGAACATGATTATATGAGATGGTATCTAAGGGCTATAGTTTTCCACACCTATTTCTTTCAGTTCAGCATGCACATGTGTACCTTCAAAAAGGTTTTAGCTGTAGCAAGGGATTTCCTTCCAGACTATAACTGAGCTTAAAATCTCCAAGTGAGAAACTCTTGTTCATATACCTTTGGTCTCTAGAGAAACTATAGCAGAACTCAAAGCAAATTACCTTGGAAAGGCACAAAAAAATATCTTGTATTGCATCACTTTAACTGAACAAATTTAACTTCATCTGATTCCTATAGAAACTTTCTGTACTCAGACCTACTTACTTGTATAAATGAATAAATGCAAGACCATTAGCCATCTCCTCAGACTGGAGGTAATTGTTATTTGTATTTTTTTTCCTAGTGCTTTGCAGTTCAGATATTTATGGAGCATTAATAAACTTTTAAGTAACTATCATTCCTGGTGATTTTGTAAAGATAATTAAGAACAGAAAAAGCTAACAGCATGAGCCCTCAACTAAGTTCTGAAAATGTTCCTATGGCTCAATCAAATTTGACAGTCCATGAGAGATGTCAAGTATCCAGTTAAGATCGCATAAAATATTCTGTGACAGGCCCGGGGATGTACAGGGCTGACATTACTGTAAGAAGGAACCATAGAGAAAAGTATTCCATTGAAAATTCTTATTGCAGCTTTCTCTGTGAATAAAAAAAAACCTTTCTTTGCAGGTTCAGATGTGAAATATTTTATGCATTCTGTGCAAACATCTTCTGGACTACAACTGGTAGCTAGACTTCAGCATTACACTCTCAAAGATATAAGAATAAATAATATCTTCTAACTATGCTACCTCATCTTTAGCATACCACAGTCACACATCTTCTTTTTCCTTTTATAAATACTCTGCAGTGTTTGTGACACTTGGTTATATTCCAACTAGTTTTACCAGCATATGAATTTTCCAGGGGTATAGCAAAGATACTCACACAAATCTGCTTTCCTGGCATTTTTCATCCGTATGACTTTTACAGTGAGCAAGTTGCATGGAGAGGGTTCTGTCTGTTGAACAGCATACAAAATGCATGGGATGAGCATGCGGAAGAGACAGAACAGAAGCACAGTCAGAGATAACACTGAATTAAGGGTTTCAGTTCCAACCATTCAAAACATTTCTGAACTGAAGTTCTTCCTTGTGCATTGTCTTCTCCTTCCCAGAAGATTGCAGCCAGGTGTGGCCAGGGACCCAAAATGTACATTCAGTCACAGATCAAACCTCTGATGCCCTCCATTTTCCATTCTGAGGAAACCTGTGGTAAGCCACAACTTGATTTGTCTGACTTACTACCCAATCTTAGAGAAATGCATGATAGTGAGCCTGCTGTGTTATTAATAATACAGCTGACACACATCTCGGTCTGTGCAAATTCAAAGGATGTCATATATAGCCTCTGTATTTCACAATAAACAGCAGACAATCTAGCAGGGCAGGAATTAGTAACGATATCATGGTGTAACGATGCTGCTCGTCAGCTGGTTTATAGCCGTATAACTCCATTGTTATGTTTGACGTGGAGCAGTGCTGGCTCTCAGACAATGAAGACCTGAAAAGTATCTTCCAGAGACCTATCCCAAATTTCTCAGAAGGCAGGAGTAAAAGCAACAACTGTAATTATTTCTTTCTGAATAATTCAGCTCATCCAATCTTCCTTTAAGCAAGGGTCATAGGAAAGTATCAATGGAAATCTTGGGAAACCACCTAAATCTTGGTGATTATAAAAGGACATTTAGCAAACCTGCCAGAAAACTCAGAAAAATGTTTTGATTTCGTAACCCTCTCTCATCCTAAGCAAGGATTAGACAAACATGGTACTTAATAAAAAATATGGGGGCTGAAGGTGAATTCCTTTGTTCCATGGATAATTGTCTTTTTTAAAGGAATAAAAGGAGGAAAAAACTACACATTTAATACTCTAAATAAAAAAGGTAAAAAAATAAATCCTTAACAACAAAAAACCCACTAAAAAAGGACAAAAATCCCCTCAAAAACCCCTTAAAACCACAAACAAAAAATCAATAACCAAAAAGAGCAAAAAAGAAAAAGCAAAACTATGTAGCAATGCAACAAACACATATAAGAGACAGTTCATGCACATTACCTATAGAGCAGGGAATATCACTACAATGAATATGTAGATCAATATATAACGTGTCATCATTCAGTCCCTTATGCCCCAAAACTCCCACAATTTTTGAGAGCTATATTTAACACCTCACATAATGTTAGTTTCCTGGCTTTCCCCATGCACTCATTGACATTAGTGATACCTCCTCAGTTCCTCAGTGGGTTGTTTTATCCAGCCCAACTGAATGGAAGGACAACAGCAATATACCAAAAAAAAAATTAAAAAAATAATTTAAAAAATGTGGATATTTTCAAAATAGTTAAATTACTGCAGTACTAAGGTCTCTGCATTCCTGAAGGCCAAAACACAAAGTAGACACAAAACCCAAGCAGAAATCTCACTTTGCTCTCAGCCTTGAATCTGAAGAAGAAATCTCAGAGCTGAAGACACACGAGGTGGAACACCACCTTCTACAGCAGATTCCCTCTTCTGCCAAGGAGCTGCCTGCACAGCTCATTGCAGAGCCTCCTCTTTCCTTTTCTTACCAGACTTTTACTGTAGAACAGCCCCATCGTGGTCTTCTCTGTGTCTGAGCCAGACACGAAATGTGGCAGAAGACAGGTAGAGAGGAGTCTCAGCCAGGCAGCTTCTTCTGCTTTAAGCTGCCAGGAGCAAGCAGGCAGGCAGGTGTGTTGGAGCCTGACTCACCACCAACGCACCCCAAACACCACCACTTGAGCAATCCCGAACTCCTCCTCTTCCTCCTTACTGCCCTGGAGGTGAGTGCACACTGTATACCTGCACTCAGGTGCAGAAACCCAGGCTCCGGCACTGCAGAAGGATGGTCTTTGCAGCTGTAGTGAGAAGGACATTGAGATCTGAATGGGGTCTTCCCTTCAGTTACGGGCACCAAGCAGATGTTTTATACTTTTAAGCATCCCCACCACTTCTTGAGGAGGCCACAGTGCTTTTGCACACTGGAGGATTGTCAAACTGCAGCCCCTTGTGTGGAGGTGGCTGGTGCCAGCCAGGGTCCATTTGGCTGCCCAGGAGTGGGCAACAAGAACTTCTTTGGCCAAGGACATCCAAAAAAACTGTTATGCAGAGAAAAACTTTTTTTTTTTGTACCTTTTATTGCCTAAAGGCAATAGGTGGGTCTTTGTTTAAAGACACATTGGAAAGAAATTTTTTATCCCCATCTCACCTTCCATTTTCCTCAACTCAGGCAGTAAGTAAGCTGTCTTTCTGCCAAGCAGTTACTGCAGGATACTGCTGCATGAAACAATTTCCCAATCACCTCTTGAAACCATAAGAGTTTCCATTGTAAAGACAAGGTCATAAAAGCTCACTCACTTTCTCAAATTTTTTTTTTTTTGCTTTGTGCATGTGAATTAAGGTGCTTAAGGGAATAAACTCAAAGAGGATATATTTGGAAAATGGAATTAGTGTTGAAATTAATGTTAATTATTCCTTATGTTCTCACCTATTCTTTATGTCCTCACATTTATAAGGCTTCACTGTGCAGGATACTGTTAGGTGCCTTATGTGAGTAAGGACCACCATGTGAGGTGGTCCTCTGTCTCAATGAGGGAGTACATAAGAGGTAACAAAATGGGAGGTTTTTTTTAAAAAACATCATCCTTGCTATTATGAAATTTAACAGAAAAATATCAAACTGAAAATTATCTCATTTCACTTTGCAATAAATTGAGAACTAATTGATAAAGATAACTTCACAGACATTGTCATTTGATTTTCATAAAACATTTAGCGTTTGAAGATACTGTAACTTAACAACTAGATGCAACAAGTGTCATTAAACAGATTAAAGGATGGATAACTAACAGATCACGAAAACAGTAGTCAAAGGAAGGTATCCTCATAGGGAAATATTCCTTAAGAGATTGCAAACAGCTCAGTTTTAAGCCTACTGCATGTTTTCATCAATGATCTGGAATTAAAAAAAAAAAAATCACTATTGATGCCCTGTTTCAACTAGAGGATATAGAAATATTGGGGAAGCTGAAGGAAAGAGCCACAGAGTGATCCGAGAGTAGGAGGAACTCCCTTGGAGAGGGAAAGGCAGATTTCATATCAGCCAGCAGGACATAACACAGAGATGCCCCAATGCTGACTTGGGATGCAGCACAGCTATGTCAGTATAGTAATTAGTCATGGTTAGAAGATGGGCTAATTAGCCCTGATGAAAAATAGGGTTAATCAGGCTCAGGCTGTGTCATGCACCTTCTGGTCTTTTTTCCATCCTGTTGTTAAGTTTCCCCTGTGAACCAGACAGAAACAGCTTCCATCCTGCTCTGTGTTATTTCCAGCAAAAAGGTCTAGAAACAATGGGAATAAACCCACAGATACCTCTGGAAAAGATCCAGAGGGATCCCATGAGCTGATATTCTACTGCTTGGAAGCTGAGTCACAATTGGAGGGCTAATAATTGAAGGGCTGAAAATTGGCTGCCTCACACATGGAGGGCTAATAATCTATATTTAAGCATGCAATACTGTACCTGGAAACAGGGTTACACTGTGCCATTTCAAGTGTTTCAGGTGCATGAACACAATGAACGTGCTCATAGGTGAAAAACACGGCCCACTCCTGCTCTTCCATCACCCAAATTGCACTGAGATGCATCACCAGCTGTTTTTTCCACAGGAGAGAAACCTTTTTCTCCCATCCATTTCCTAGAACTTTGTTCCATACGAACATATTTGTCACTTCGGAGTATAATCAAGACTCTGATCTCAACACCAGTTCTGCCCTGGTGACTCAGTCTGAAGTTCATTGCAACAGTAGGAGCCTTTCATTATCAAAATGAAGATAATCCCAAGCAATTTTTGAGCTGCTGTACCAGCCTCTTCATGTATCACAGCTCCACAGTGCAGGGCTGCTATTGTGAAAGGCTGAGCTTGTGATCTGCCTGTGAGGAGAGCAGCTACCTTCCTCTAGAAGACTCTAGGATTTTTGGTGAGGAGGAATCACTCTCTCAGGATAACCCCTGCAAAAAGACCATTTGCAGGCAAGTGTTGAAGAGTTGCAGAAAAAACCTGCAAAAAAACTAAACCAAACCAAAGCAAAACCCCACACCTGGAAGGGAGCTGAAAAGGCCCTCTTGCATTGCTGTACTTTATGCCAACAGCTAGCAGCCACTTCCCATTTTATGAAATACTAGGAGAAATTGCAAGGTAAACTTCCAGGAACAGTCAAGGCAGGTGAAGATGAGTGAGACAAGACAGGCAACAGCAATTCCAAGAGCAAGTGAAAGGAAAGCTGGGCAACATGATTACTACTTAGCCTGAATATAGGTAGTTCAGCTAGAATCATTTGATCACGTGAAACAGAGATGACCTAATTCAGGGGGATTTTTTTATTGATGGTGAAAACTGTATAGATTTTTACAACACTGATAGTAACTTAAGAAACTTATTTTCAAAGATTAGTGAAGAAAACCAGTCAAATAAAAAATTCATAGTGGACAGACAATCAAATCAGAGATGACAGCTTTCAGTGTGTCAATATTTAAGATAAGACCACCAACACAATGGATTAGCTATTTACCAGAGAAATTCCAATTCAAGGGATTGCCCTTCTGCCAGACAGAAGTGTATAAATACTGGTTTTATTCACATTTTAATGTGCTACATATTTCACTATTATCTTACACAACACTATTAATTTATTCAGAATATATATATATATATATATCAATTGGTAAAGAAGGTAACAAAACTGAACACAAAATTGTTGCTTTTAAGTTTGTTTTGGGTTAAACCACTGGTGAATTCCAATCTGTTCATCTGAACAGTCACGTAAATAGGATGGAGTCCAGCACGTCCTCAGGATGATGAGAATTCTACTGCAAGTAACACTGTCAATCATCAAACATCTTAATCTCACCAGATAATATACAACCCAAGAAATACCACATGGAAAGCTAAAGCTAGTAGGTGATGGCTAATAATCCCGCTGCTTCCTTCGTGCCACTGCCAAGCGCAAGGCCCGAATTATCAACTCCTCGTTATTCAAGACGTTGTAATCAGTCAGTTTCACCAGTTTGTCAAAATTCCTTTCACTGAAACACACCTCCCTTGTCGTAAATGGGGAGAGGATACTGCAGACATCAACTTTGCCTTCAGCCATCTCTTCAGGAGTCCTTTCCACACCTGAGGGATATATCAAAAGGAGATGCACCAATAAGGTTTTGTTGTAGGATGTGGGTCATATCAGTCATTTAAGTGATTATAGGTAGAAAAGGGAGATTTTTGGAGTGAAAGAGATGATTTCCTGGAGGGATGTAAAAGTATTCTAGTAACACTGTACTCTTCAGTCTCTGGATCAAGCCTCAGTCCAAAAATTACGCAAATCCAAACAGCTAAGAATGAGAACAATATTGATTATCAGCAGCAGCGCTTGTAGACCACACTTTGAACAATATAAAGTCTTAGGATAATAGAATCATAGTGGTTGGAAAAGACCTTTAAGATCATCAAGTCCAACCATAAACCTAACACTACCAATTCCACCTCTAAACCATGTCCCTAAGCACCTCGTCTACCCGTCTTTTAAATACTGCCAGGGATTTTGACTCCACTACCTTCCTAGGAAGCCTGTTCCAATGTTTGAGAACCCTTTCAAGGGAATAAGTTTTTCGTAATATCCAATCTAAACCTCCCCTGGTGCAACTTGAGGCCATTTCCTCTTGTTCTATCGCTTGTTACCTGGGAGAAGAGACCGACTCCCACCTCTCTACAACCTCTTTTCAGGTTGTTGTCTAGTCTTTGTTACACAAACTAGAAAATTGCAAGTAAAAGGAAAATAAGATACTCTTGTACTGGATTAAATAACAACCCTCTCACCTAAAGTTCAGGAGAAATAATGACACTCAGAGGACATAGTTCATATTAAAAACAAAGATCTCTGTCCACTCAGTCCTCTATCTGAGAGACTACTTTTAAATATGTGAACAAAACCCAGATGAACAGGCTTACCATCATAACCTCCAGAAAGTTTTGTCTCCATCTTTGTTTGCAAGCAGTGGTGCATAACAAGTGCATGTTTGTAGAGTCTAACAGCTTGTGTTAACTTACCACCCTTCCTGTATGTATTTTGGGAGTTTAACATCACACTATCTCTAGTAAGCCCTGTGGAGTAAATGCTTATTTTCATCTTGAATGTATTAGAAAAGCTTCCAGAGTTCTCACAGTTCAGACAGACTGACACGGGCCAGTTATTTTTGCCAGTGATGAGACTCATAATGTCAACATTGGAAAGAAGGTCAGAGGTGACGAGACGTTAGATATGAAATGGAGAGGACATGGTAGGCAAGTGACTTTTAATTAAGATTGCTAGCCACAGATGACTCACCAGGAGCTTTATATTTCTTGAAGGTGTCATTTACTAGGGGGAAAAAGAGCACTGTTGGAGCTTGCGGACTGTCAGCATCTTCAAACACATAACACTCCTTCAAGTTTTCCCTGTCTTCCTCACTTATCTCAATTTTGGGAAATGGGATTCCTTGCCCCGAGATGTACTTAGCAATCTGATCCAGAGGCTGGATGAA